TTTTTTTTTTTTTGAGACAGAGCCTCAAACTGTCACCCTAGGTAGAGTGCCGTGGCATCACAGCTCACAGCAACCTCCAACTCTTGGGCTCAAGTGATTCTCCTGCCTCTGCCTCCCTCTGTAGCTGGGACTACAGGTGCCTGCCACAAGGCTCAGCTATTTTTTGGTTGCAGCTGTCATTGTTGTTTGGCAGGCCTGGGCTGGATTTGAACCCACCAGCTCAGGTGTATGTGGCTGGCGCCTTAGCCCCTTGAGCCATAGGCGCCTAGCCTCTAGTACCCTATCTTAAATTCCCCAGTTATCTTTTCACATTGAGCCATTTCTTATATGTGCAGAAACTAACTTTCTGTGAAGTTTTTCACATTGGAAAAATCCTTCAATTCAGTCTGCACTGAATTAAAGTAAACAATGTATAGTACTAGATCTTTCATGGTGAATAAATATAGGCTTTGATTTTGATAGAGCAACTACTACAGTCCCAGGTCCAGGCTACATGTTCTGTTACCAGGCCTGGGTCACTCTGGATGCCTTTTACCCTGAGTCTCATGTGACATAAGGCCTTGGCTCTGTCTGTTTTTCTCTCTGCTCTGACCTTGGCGTGAAAGCTCTTCTCCAACAGCTTTTCCTTCAGTTCTGTGCCAGGAGCTCCAGTGTTGTTTGAATCTCATAGACGGTACTAGTTTGGGTTTGGGTTTTAGCTGCCAAATGGAATTGCTATTGAAAGTCAGCTATGGTACAGATTTGCTTTTTATTTTCTTAGACATGAGTCAAAAAGAATAGGATCTATTCCCAGCTCATCTGGGACTTTTTTTCTTTTGGAATGTTCTTTTGCCCTAGTGATTTGTTGTTTTTAAGCTAGCATCATAAAGAATACAAAAGTTAAAGTTTCCTTGGTGAGGCTGAGAACCCCGTGCCCTAAGTCTTCACTGGATACTGACTCTCAAAGGGGTGACATGTCTTTAGAGAATGTGTTTGGCAGGCTATGTAGAGTCTTTTCCTCCCTCCCACCCCTCCCTGGACTGAATCCCTTGAGACCCCCTGCATAGATCAAAGCACTTGGCAGAATCTTTTGCCTTCCCCCTCCTCCTTTGCGAAGGTTAGGAATGAGTCTGATTCTTGTAGGTATTTAGTGGAGGTGCCAGACAGAAGCCTGGGAAGATGCCAGCAGGCATGAGGGGAGCTGGCAGTATGTGGACATAATAGGACAGTATTCCCTAAAACTGGGATTTTATCACCTTTTACCCAGACGTACAAGCCATGTTGTTAATATTCCTCTTTCTCCTTACACAGAAGGCCTAACCATCCCTTCTTTTGCATACCTGGATCCTTTCCCATGGAATATGTGACCCATTAGCCAATTGGATGAAGTAACTCTTTCCAAGGCTGCTGCCTGCTTTCCTTTTAGATTTGAGGGGGATAGACAAGGAGTGCTGAGGGGGGATGGTCTGTGAGCAGAACTAATGTGAGTGGGCGAGGGATTTTGGCATGGGGGATGGAGTGAGTTGTGAGAGCCAAATGAAAACATCTCTCCCTGTCTTCCCACTGGAGTGAGAGGGCCTCTTATTAAAACTTCCCCGTAATAGTCATAACCTTTTGGAAAATATTTGTAAATAGCAACTTTTACCTTTCCGAGAACAGGATAAAGGATAGAAAGAACATTGCCTTTATGTAATACTGAAGAGAGAATTGTAAACTCCTACAGATGGAAACATCTTGGTTGGTTGGCTAATAAGCTATCTTAATGATAGGCCCTTTAACTCTAGAAATACAGCTTAGAGGAACAAAGCTGTGTTTGCTATAGTTCAGTAACCATGACTAAATGCCATATTTTCCCAATTTAGTATACTCAAATGGAGGAGGGGAAAGACCCGGTGTTTTCTGATTAAGGTGTGAATTTGATTATGGAAGTCAGATATTTTTATCCTTGTCCTACATGTTATCCATGGTAAATACTATATATATATATATATATTTTTTTTTTTTTTTTTTTGAGACAGAGTTTTACTGTGTCGCCCTTGGTAGAGTGCAGTGGTATCACCACTCACAGTGACCTCAAACTCTTGGGCTTAAGAGATTCTCTTGCCTCAGCCTCCCCAAGTAGCTGGGACTATGGGTGCCCACCATAATCCCTGTTTTTTGGTTGTAGTTGTCATTGTTTGGCAGGCCCAGGTGGGATTCGAACTTGCCAGTTCCCGTGTATGCGGCTGGGCCTTAGCTGCTGAGCCATAGGTGCCGAGCCAGTAAATACAATATTAACATAGTCTCTGAGATTTTCGACATACCAGGAGAGTGTTAGGTCACTTTATTCACTCCTGTACTTGTGACTATAGTTGTGTACTCTTATTTCTGTTTGTTTATGTATTTTTATCTTAGGTCCTCTCTGTTTTTCTCATTGCTGAACAAATATTTAGGAAGTGTCTACTGTGTACCAGGTGCTGGTACTCCTTCAAACCTTTTGTGAAATTCTCCTAATTCATATGTATTTCCTAATTCTTACATATCTTTATTATAAGTCAGTGCTCTGCTCCTAGTAGAATGGCATGTGGCGTGTAGTAATGAATGCTGTCGAGTTGTGGGACTTAGTAATTAGAACCACATGTATACTGTTAAGTATGCAACATTAATGATAACTGAATTTTGCCGAGAATCTAGCGTGTGTCTACCACTGTTCCTTTTAAACATAATCTCATTTAATCTTTATTCAAACCCTATGACATAGTTATTGGTTCCTTAGTAAGTGGTAGAGTCAATGTGGTAACTCAGTTGTAACTTATTCCAGAGTATGTGCTGTTAATCACTGTATCAGTCTACTTTATAATCATTTAACAGATACCATAAGCTTTAATCTTAAGGTCCAGTTAGAAAAATGGATATTTCCAACTTTCTCAATAGTTCAGATTCCTGCTTTAACGTATTTGGGAGGCAATTTGAGCTTGTAAATGAAATAATTTAAAATGAATTAATTGGGAATTTAAGAAACAGGCTTGAAGATATCAAAAAGCTTTCATTACTTGCTGTTCAGTGTATAAGGCTATGCAAAGAGACTGCAGAGTGTCCCTACAGCTGCCATACATAGGGAAAATGGGAAATTGTAGCTAAATGTACCTTTATTTACAAAATAGTCATTACAAAATTTATAGAATTTTACAAAGAGGTGGCCAACAGGTAGAGAATATTTTATAAATATTTTGTAAAATTCATTTAGATACATTTAGCTGCAGTTTCACATTTTCCCTATGTAGGGTGACTTTAGGGGTGACTTTTGGAACATCCTTTATATTCTGGAACCATATTGTTTTTGTATAAGCTTACAATTTAATTCCCAATGCAGATAGAAAGGAGAGGTAAAGACAGTAGAACAAATATTAAAGTTACCTAAATAATGTAAGGGTTTATGTTAAGTGTAACTCAAAGGATAAATGTGCACAGTGAGGAAGGGAAGAGAGCATACGGGCATGAGCGTTAGGTGTATCATGGAGTGAAGACCACTACCAGTTTATTTTTTGGTTTGGAGACAAGTTGAGTGGCTGTATATGTCTCTTGTAACCTAAGGTGTTATTCAGTAAGGAGCTGTGATTGTTTAATTTTAGGTTTAGGACACTGCCTGCAGCTGTACAGTCATTGCATCAGTTCTTACCAAGTTGGTTCAAAATGGAGATAGTACTTGTGAGAAACTGCTCAAGAAATGTAAGGGAGTCAGGAAATGGCATGGGCACTTAAGTCCATTAGGGATGACTCAGTACTGGTGTCATTGTGTCCATGTGATGCTTAGAGATGGGTTGTGAGAGCTATGTTCTGACTTTGAGATAGCAAGAGTGGGAACAGGGGAATCTTATTATTCTGACTCTGGACTTACTCCTTGTGCTTGTATATAATGTTGGGTCACAAGATTATTTTTATTTTATGAACAGTTATAGGGTAAGAAATTATTATTATAAAGACAGACTTTTGAATTTGGGTGTCAGTTATTTGGGGACAAAGTACTAGGGAGAGGTAGGAATTGTGCTTAAAAGTTAAGTCTCTGAGTGGTGCTAGTAGCTCAGCAGCTAGGGTGCCAGCCACATACACTGAAGCTGGCGGGTTTGAACCTAGCCAGGGTCAGCTAAAACAATGACTGCAACAATAACAACAACAAAATAGCCAGGCACTGTGGCAGGGGCTTGTAGTCCCAGCTACTTGGGAAGCTGAGGCAAGAGATTCACTTAAGCCCAAGAGTTTGAGGTTGCTGTGAGCTGTGATGCCATGGCACTCTACTGAGGGTGACCTCTTGAGACTCTTATCTCAAAAAAAAAAGTTAAGTCTCTGAGTTAGTACCTTGCTCTGTTGCTTATTAGCTGTGTGACTTTGAGCAGGTCCTTAACCCTCTCTGATTTCTCTCTTCATCTGTAAAATGAATATGTGATGTACGTGCCACATAGAATGTGGCAAAGATTAAGTGGCTCTGACACACTGGAACAGTGCTTGGCACATAGAAGCGTTCTGTACATTTATTAAAATTTAATTGTTTCTGCCAATATTCATAGTTTTGTTGCTGCTGCTATAGCTATTAAATATCATAGTTATGATCATTGCCACTGCCTTTTTGGATCCCTTTTGTCCTACTACATAAATTGTGCCGACTTCTAACTGGCTGCTCTTAATATAATCAAGCACGGAGTTGTTCTGTTTCAGATGTTTTAATCTAACTATATCTATATCCTTAATCTGGAATCCATAATAACGTCCTGCTTCCTACCATGTTAAATCTAAATGCATCCCTTGCCAAGGGTGCAAATTCCTTTGTCATTGGGATCAGTCCCTCCTAGTTGTCTAACTATGCCTTTGTTATTTAGTCTGTAAGCCCCAGAACCATGAATCTACCTTTCACCTGGACTTGTGGATGCCCCCTTCCCATGAAGGCCTTCTTTCCTCTCCACATATGCTCGATAGCATTCAACTCTTACTTTTGCACCTTGTCTTCCCGAACAAGTCTTCCCCAGCTGGCCTACCTGACTGGTCTACACTTTGACTTTGCAAGCTGATATCTTGTATTTGTGGATATTCTGCTTTGTGTTCTTATAAATTATATATTTTTCTGTCCCTTTGCTTAGATATTAACACTTTGGGGATGGGGACTACTAAAACTTAAGTTCTATAAGGGCAAAGATTGTGTCTATTTTCTTTATTGCCTTAGCATCCTCAGTGCCTTGTGTAGTGTCCAACGGTGCTGTTTATGGTATAAAGAACTTATTTTTATTTTTTTGAGACAGAGACTCATTATGTCGCCCTTGGTAGAGTGCCATGGCATCACAGCTCACAGCAACCTCAAACTCTTAGGCTTAAATGGTTTTCTTGCCTCAGCCTCCCTAGTAGTTGGGACTATAGGTGCCCACCACAATGCTTGGATTTTTTGTTGTTGTTGTTGTCATTGTTGAGCAGGCCTTGGCCGGGTTCGAACCCACCAGCCCCAGTGCATGTGGCTGGTGCCTTAACCACTGAGCTATGGGTGCTGATCTAAACAGCTTCTTTTTAACTGAAGAAATCTTTTAAAAGACCTAATTCAGTTTTTGCACATGGTTGCTTAGCAAGTGCCCTTAAGTTACTCAAACACCCATTTTATTTCACAGAGGAAATGCTAGGATCCATTGTGAGTCTGTAAGTTCTCTATAAACAACTTAATGAAAGCCTTCATTTAAGAATAATGATAGTGTTTTGAAATTTCCATCATACTTTACATTGGGAGAAAGCAAGTTTTTATTTATTTTTAAGTAACTCTTACTTTCTTGGCATGTAACTATTCGATATCATGTATATAAATCTTTAAAGCTGTTTAGGCTATATTCATTATGTGAAAGGGGCTATATAAATTTATTTTTCCCCATTGTAATTGGATACTCAGAGAATTTATGGAAGTGATATGTTATGTGGCCAATTGAATATATGGGTATCTTGGCAGGAACCTTTTCTTAGAGGTTTAGTTTTGTGTATCATCATTTCTTAAAAGGTTAAGAATGTTGCTCCCTTAATTGTAAACTAGGTTTCCTTTGCATTTCTACTTTTTCATTCTTTGTCTCTACTCAATAGCCAAACCAGATTTCCCTGGAAGAGAACATCCTGGTCTCCCGTTATATTAACAACCCCCTGCTTATAGATGGTGAGTTTTGTTAGGCCCTTAATGAGATTGGCCTTGATCTTGCTATACTTTTTAGCCTTTTTGTGGTCGTCTTTAGTAAGTCTTTATTAAGCTAGTGTGAAATTCTTAGCACCTGTGGCTCTAGAGATGAGGCTTGTTCCATACCTACCTCATGGGATTATTTTGAAGATGAAATGAGATAATATAAGAGAAAGGCTTTATAGGTTATATAATAATTCATATATATATGAAAACGATACAACATATATATAAAAAACTGAACTAGATATATGCATTAAACACACTATAATAGCACAATGTACATATATAGTACAATTAAATGTTATTATTTATCTTCAAAAGGCAAGGTGTATGGAAAGTATGTATTTCATGTGAAGAAGAGGAATGTTCTTTCTTTTTTTCTTTTTTTTTTTTTTTGAGACAGAGTCTCACTCTGTTGTCCAGGTTAGAGTGCCGTGGTGTCAGCCCAGCTCACTGCAACCTCGAACTCCTGGACTCAAGCGTTCCTTCTCCCTCAGCCTCCCAAGTAGCTGGGACCACAGGCACCCACCACCAATGCCCAGCTAATTTTTTCTGTTTTTAATAGAGATGGAGTCTCACTCTTGCTTAGGCTAGTTTCAAACTCCTGATCTTAAGGGATCCACCTGCCTTGGCCTCCCGGATGCCAGGATTATAGGCATGAGCCCCTGCACATGGCCTTTTTTTTTCACATTTCTTGATTATGTTCTGTTTATTCTGTAACAGAAAACAAATGAACTTAGTTTTTCCTGTGAACCCAAACTTTTTTTCTAGATTTCAAGTTTGACTTACGCCTCTATGTGCTGGTGACTTCCTACGATCCTCTTGTCATCTATCTCTATGAAGAAGGACTGGCTAGGTAAGAGACTTTGTTTTGGGGTAGAAGGTAGAGTGGGTATATTAGAGTGGACCCATTAAAAAGTTTATTAAGATCAGACTTTCTTTCTTTTATATTCATCTTAGGCAAATAGAGTATATACCCAGATGGACTTTTTATTACTGAAATCAGTCTTATTAGTCTGCACTTTCACATGCATGTCCACACATGAGTATGTGTTAACACACACCTTTCCCAGCAGGAATCCAGGATCACATGGGATTTTCATGCGATGACAATTATTACAAAGACCCCATGGTTTTAAGATAATTTGCCATTGTTTTTAAGAATAGATCTAGAAAGAAAAATAAAATCACTCATTTATTTACCTGTTATGTAGTAGGCCCTTATTTTAATTCTCCACTGAATCCTTAAAATGCAACAACCTTATAGTTGATGCATTTTTGCAGTTGAGGAAACTGAAACTCAAAGAGGTGAGTTTTGGAAAAAGCTTTCAGAAAAAAACTGAGGGAATTTGGAAAGGGGATTTGAACTCATGGATATGACTCAATACCAGAACTGTTTTATTCTCTCTCATGATTCGGGAGTATTAGATGCTTTTTTAATAAACATATAAATTATATACTTTACACTAGTTGTTTATACATTGTTCTCTTTTTCTTGTGGTGCTTTTTAAGTTTTAAGGTAGTGTGACTTACAAGGCTAAGTTCAAATTGTAATTTGAGTTTTGTTTCCCATATCTAGAATTTTACAGGTGGCAGCGTTTTTGTATACTCGTGAGTTGTTTAAAATAAGTATGTAGCTTGGCTATGCTTGTGTTCTTTCCCCCCACAAACCCATTTTTTTGACCAACTAGTTTGCCTGAATTTTTTTTAATGCATAATGACTTTGTTGTTATAGAGCATAGCAGTTTTTGAGGTGGTTTGCATCTTTGAGCAGTCAGGACAAGCTAAAAAAGCATGATCTATATTATGTTACTGTATATTTGAAAATGTAGTTTGAAGACGGGAAGTACCATGGATAAAAGAAGCCTACCTGATTATGTACAGGTGTTTTAGGAAATGTTATCCCGCTCTGACAACCATTGCTTTAGAATGTTATTTTAATTATTTCAAATACTTAATGTTTTTTCATGTGTTCTATGATGTATTCTAGAATCAGAGTGAGAACGGACTAACCAAAGCATCAGGCTGGTTGAGCCCTGTCTTTTCTTTGCCTCTAGGTGGCAGTGACAGCATTTATAAGTCCCGGCATATTCTTAACCAAGATTTGTGAATTTGAGCCCGGGAACATTGAGGACTACCTAAACTCCCTAGTTCTGTCCTTTGAAAATTGAGATGAGGGAGAACTAAAACATCTCCCCATTATTGGATAAAGTGTTAGACCAAGCGTCTGTACATGAACTGACTGCTGGTTCTAGTCAGGTTTTTATAGGAAAGAAATTTTCTCTGGTGTTACAGATGCTCATGCTCTCCTGCTTTTACGTATAGATGCACAAGATTAGGTATAAAGGTCTAGTCCCCATAATACCTAGAGCAAAATGAAAGTAAAATATACTCCAGACTTCTCCTTAGATGTGCAGGGTGCTGCGGATTTTCGAGTTTGTAATTGGAGACTTCTCAGCTCTCCTTCTTCTGTAAGTTTCTCCATTCTCCTTCCACTCATTCTCACCTCAGCTCGTTTCCTATGTCCTGCTTGGGAACTGATTATGCCCTGCCACAAATTGGACTTCGGAAATAGAGAAAAGATACCAAGCTTATGCTTCACTGTTTCTCAAGGATACCATACCAGTATGTTTTGCTTGATATTTCAAAGATATTTTACCCACAATATTAACAGTTCTCTCGGTGGGGAAAATTTGGCATAGTTTTAAGGCCTTCATGGTTCAGAACCCAAAACAAGAGCAGTACCAGTGTTTCTTTTAGACTTTACTTCAGATATGCAAGTGCTTTGGCTGCTAATTGTATGTTGGAAGTTAGAATCCTCTGAATTGAGTAACTCCTCTTTTGTTCCTAGCAGAAACTGAAAATAAATAAATATGATGCTCTTCCTGAAAATAATTAGGAAAACAGCTTTTTAACAGCTAAGACCAAATTAAACTAAAAAACAAGTTCTCAAGGCTTGGTTAATTTTTTTCTGAAAGTATTAGTGAGTATACACGCTTTACCAACACTTTACAAAAAGACCGTAATAGCAATATGATGGATTGTTTGCTGGAATCCTGTGAAGTACATTATTCAGTGTAATAATTTCAATGTGCCTAAGTTCCCGTATCTTCACTCTCTATGTATCTTGGCATTTACCTGTTTCTTTTTAAGCCTCGGAGTCTGCTCAATTCTGTCATTACATTCAGCAGCAGTCTATAGCATCTCCAGAGCTGCAGCTTGTAGTAATTTTGAGTTACGTGTTATGTAGATATAACTGAAGATAATCAGTTTGGGATGAGATCACTAGGTCATTGTACTTTGAGGCTCAACAAGGAAAACCATCTTTCCTAAAGAGACAGCAGTGTGGGCCAATTAATTAGTGGTCTCCTTCAGAAAGGCAGGCTTTTATATACTATATCACGTCTGTTTGGATCTCTAATGCAAGGTGACGGAAAGATTAAGTTCATTTCATGAGGCAGTTTTGTAAAATAAGTTATTTTTGTGATAAGTTATTTTGTATACATGTTTTACCTTCTTAAACTTACTAAAGAAAAAGACCCTAGTTTCTTTATAGATAGATGTGTTCGGTTGTCCTTGTTTTATTCACACAGGAAGTAGGAGAATTCTCACAGTTTTCTTATAAGTGGGTAAAATATTGAAGAGGTATTAAAATGAAATCGTCTCTCTGGTATTTGGGTCCATTGTTTTGTGGTTCTTGTAGTAGCACCTCAGAGGTCCACCCTGCTTTTGAATTTCACCTGCATGCTGCTGTTTTGCACCAGCAGGGGACACTCTGTTTCCAGAGAGTGGGGCTGTTCTCTACCAAAATGGTGTAGCTTCTTTTTCCTGTCAAAGGTAGAATCCAAAAAGATTTTGTCCTGGATTTTACAGCTCTAGGTAGATCCAGTATTGGGTTTAAATGATTTGACAAAGCCCTTTTTGAGACAGAACTAACAGCCAAATTTTTACTCAAACAGGAAAAATAGAAAGTTTAAAATAATTAAAACAAAACTGAGTTGAAAGCCAAATATGTTGTCAGAGACCCAAGAGAGGTGGCACCAGCAACTTGGGGGACATGCACGTGCCCATCCAGGAAACCGAGAGCGTCTGCCATGCTGTGGAGGTGTGAGGGGAGGACACTGAGACGGTCCAGTCACAACTGCCTTTTCGGAAATTCAGAAAAGACCCCAAAGCATTTCTAATGCCTTTCTCTTTCCCCACCCCCGTTCCTTCTTCAGTAGCCTTCCTTGCTAATTAACACTGGCTCTGCAGGGATATTTACCTTTTCTCTGCTGGATTCCTGTGGTTTTGAAAGAATTCAGGTACTTGCTGGCTGCCAAGGAATTCAGATTACCTCACAGGCTGCACACTGTCCAGAATCTGCAACAGCAGCAAGTGGGGAGAAGAGACACCAACAAGGGGAGAAAACCCTTTCCAGTGCTCATTGTCACACTCCTTGGCAGGCCTTTGCTGTTTGTGAAGTTTGAGTCATTTCTGGCTCAAAAGACAGAGGATCAGGCGGGTAATCCCCTCCCAGACGGCTCTGTAGGGCGCTGCCTAGTCACTGCAGCACTTTGGCAGTCCTTCGGCTGCAGCTGGTTGACAGCAGATCAGAGAGCTCTTGGGCCTCTTGTTCTCTTCCATAAGATTTTTCTGGGTCAGGCCAGGATGAAACCCAGTGGCTCCTGGCAAGCCTGCCTGAGGTGCTGTCTCTTCATTGCCGAGGCCTCTCTGGCTCAAAATGGCTGCACCTGCTGAAAGATAACTCATGAGTCACAGCCAGGGTCTCCACAGGGCTGGTCTTCTCTTTTCTTTGTACATTTGTAGTGAATTTTTGTTAGAAAATATAACTACCAAAGAAGGGGTTACAGTGTCCTACATCTAAAGTATCTATGACTCTAACTAATGTATACATGATCTACCTCTTTATGATCTAATAAAAAATAAAAAAGAATGTAGGAGTCCTTTAATTTAGACCTTCAGAGAATAGGGGTCCTATTCTTAGAAGAACAAAATAGTTTTTGAATAGTAGATGAGAGTTTAAGAGATCCTGTTAACTCTGTGTGCTTTTCTTCTTATTTTGGTTCCTTATGAGAAAAGATATCGAATAAGCAACTTCAGTGCCATTTCAGTCAATGCTTCTTAAATACCTACTATATTGTTTTGATTCTCAGGAACATTAGAAAGTGAAAGGAGGTGTGTCTTTTGATATAAGAATTTATTGTCAGAATAAAGGTAATCCATATTTGTTGTCACTGTAGGAAAAAGAAAGGGCACGTAGTTTTATATTCATCTGTAGGTCATGAAATAGTACCCAGGGTTTTAGTTTTAGCAAAGAAAGTAAGAGTAAAGATCTATCAATCAAGAAAGTGTTCCTAAATCTTGATCTCTGGTCAAGACTTAATTCATGAAAATTTCAGCCTGTGTTAGGGTAAGGACAGTCATGTACTCCTAACAATGTTTTGGTCAATGTTAGTCCACATATACGATAGTTGTCCCATAAGATAATAATGGAGCTGAAAAATTCCTATTGGTTAGTGACTTCGTAGCATTCATAACATCTTAGCATAGTCCATTACCTTCTCTATGTTTAGATACACAAATATTTGCCAGCGTGTTCCAGTTGCCTACAGTATTCAGTTCAGTAACATGCTGTACAGGTTTGTAGCCTGGGAGCAATAGGCTATGCCCTATGGCCTAGCTGTGCATAGGCTGTACCATCTGGGTTTGTGTAAGTGCATTCTGTGATGTTCCCACAACAATGAAACCTTTTAACACATTTTTTACAATACGTCTCTACTGTTAAATGACATGTGACTATATTGCAAATATAGTTCTGGTATACCTAGTAAAGAGTTAAATCTTTAAGGTTGTTGTTATAAAGAAATTGTGTTGAAGCTTTTAGGCTAAATTTCAGCCTAAATAGGCTGAAATTTGATGATACGTGAAGGTCTAAATTAAAGGTCGCAAACCTAAATGCTCACAAATGTATTCACTGGAAGAAGTTAGCCATGGGGAGACTAGAGAATGGGAAAGCACGTGTCCCACCTAAGGCATTTGCTATTCAGTGCCAGCAAATTACTGATGTTGTTATTGACTGATCTGGTTTGTTAAAGGATCCTTGAACATCTGTATTTTTATTATGAAACTTACCAATTTTATTAGACTCTTAATTTTGAAACCATTTTGAACTTATAGAAAAATAATAAAACCAGTGTAAAGAACTGCCTTTTACTCTACATCTTCAAATTTTGCCAGTTGTCCCAGTAATGTTCTTTATAGCAGAAGGATCCAATACAAGGTCACACATTATGTTGTCAGGTCTTTTTAGTCTCCTTCCTTCTGGAATAGTTCCTCAGTCTTTCCTTGACTTTTATGATCTCAGCATTTTGGAAGATTATAAGCCAGTCTTTTTGTAGATTTTCCCTCTATTTGGGTTCATCTTGCATTTCTCATGATTTAGACCCAGATTATACATTTTGGGTAAAATGCCACATAAGTGATGCTGTTTCTGCTCACTGCCTTATATCTGATGGTACAGAATTGTTAACTGGTATTTGAACATTTGATTAAGGTTGGTATCTACCATATTCCTTCACTGTAAAGTTACTTTTTCTTTGCCTTTGTAATTAATATTTTATGAAGAACTACTTTAAAATCATGTAAAATTTCATTCTTCATCTCATTTTCACCCAGTCACTTTAATACCTTTTAAAGTTCTTGCAATTATTGCTGCAAATGATGATTTTTCTACAAGGATTCTTTCTTTATGTAATGGGTTGTAATCCTTTACTATCATGATTTAGCTTGATTGTTAATTGCCAGTGAGGCCCCTTTAAGCTGGCTTTTGTGTTCTTTTGACATGTCCTTATCATTCTTTGAGCATAAGATGTTTCAGGCTCATCTTGTTCTTTCTCTGACCTATCCCAGGAATCAACCATTCCTCCAAGAAGCACTGGTTGCTATTTATTTGTTTATTTATTTAATTTTTTTGAGACAGAGTCTCACTATGGTGCCCTCAGTAGAATGCTGTGGCATCACAGCTCACAGCAATCTCAAACTCTTGGGCTTAATTGATTCTCTTGCCTCAGCCTCCCAAGTAGCTGGGATTACAGATGCCTGCCACAAGGCCCAGCTGTTTGTTTTGTTGTAGTTGTCATTGTTGATTAGTAAGCAGGCCTGGACCGAGTTCAAACCCACCAGTCCCAGTGTATGTGGCCGGAGCCCTAACCACTAAGCTATGGGCACCAAGCCCTGGTTGCTATTTAACAGAGAGCTAGTGCTAGATATTCCCATTGCTTTGAGGTGTCTCTGCTCTCAGGTTCACCCAATGTGTAGACTTAGGAAATGAAGTAGAACCTCTGTAAGTTGATAACCCAAGGGACTCTGACAAACTGGTCAACATACGGTGGCAGTCAGTGTAAGGAACTAGGCCTACTACTATATTGATACAGACATGTGGTGCATGTCTGTTCCATGTAAATTAGGTCAACTTACAGAGTTGGTCAGTTAGGGATGTGGTCACCTATGGAGGCTCTACTGTATATCTGTGTGTATATACATACATTTACATCTATATTGTTATATCTCTATGTATTGGAAAGAAGGAGTTCATACTAGTACCTCAAATTCTAGTTCAAAACTACAGAGTTGAGGCTCGTTTTTCCCCTTTCCGTGTTTTTCTCCCCAACAGTGAGAAATCTGGCTCCCA